AGAATGGGAACCTCCACCGCCCCGTCGAGATCCCCCGTGCAGATGGTGCACCTGTGGCTCATCACCTGCGCCCCACCCATGCATGGGCTTCGGTTCGCCTGCTCTGAGCACTCTTTCTGCGTCCCCAGGCGGGTCCGTTGCGTTGGAGATGGAGGTGCCCAAGCTTTCTATGAGGAGGCGGGTCGTCGACGCCGCTTCCTCCACGGTGAGGCATGCCCTGAGGCCTGTGCTCCGCAGGAGAAGACGTATTTGATTGTTTCCGAACGGGGCGTACGCGTTGGGGGCCTGCTCCCCCCCTTTCGTCCAGTATGCTTCTGATGTCGCTGGGCGTATGGATGCATGCGAGTTGCAGCCATCTAGCGAGGACCTCGCATGGTCTAGTGTCCATGCCTCGTACCTGGAGCACTGGTCGAAGTAGGGGGATGTAATGTGGTGCTAGACATAGCCACATGGCCCTGGATATCCTGCTTCCAGGCTCGAGGTGCGTTCTTGACTCCCTCAGGAGACCTTCCGCTATGAGCTGTGCGTCTGCGCCGCTGATGGAGCTGCGGTCGATGCAGTGCTGCCTAGCTCTTCCAGCGGCCTCATCGTCTCTCTGTGTTGCGCCCAGGGCTCGGATGAGGGCGTCTAGTGTGTCGCTCCTGCGGTCTGCCTGGGCGGGGGGCCTGCTTCTGCTGTCGGTATCTTCGCCAAGTCTTTGTCTGATGTCCGCGTGCCAGGGGGTTGTGGTGCCCTGTGCCCCGCCCTCCGCTGCAGGAGGAGCGTGGCGGCATCCCGCTCCTCCGCCGCTTCCGCTGCCGTTTCGAGCGCTCGCCCTCGCAATTTGGACCTGGGCTCATCTTTCGACCGCGATCCGGTCCCCTGTCAGCATTCCTTCCTGAACGTGCCCGAAGGGGTCGAGCCAGCTCATGGTGCGCTCTTGGAGCTCTGGGATGATGTAACCTCCGGGGAGGGGGGCCTCAACTTCTCTTCCCGTTATGTGTGAGATGGTTGCTGCTTCCCCAGCGAGGCGGTGGGGTGCTTCCTCCAGGGTGGAAATGCCCACTACGTCCCATCGTCGAGCTGCGCCACTATGTGGGTGGATATCCCGGCGGTCTCGAAGACGCCTCGTAGGGTGCTTCTTCCCCCTTCTGTGACTGACTCCCAAATGGCAGGGGCCAGGATCCTGCTCCAGGTGGTATTGCTAGGTATACTGTCGTTCGCAACCTGCGCGCGGATGACCATGATTTTCTGCAGTAGGCGGCGGGCGCTGCTCCACCTTTCTGAGGACGGTTGAGCGCCGATGTTCGGCCGCCGTTCCTCGATGGTATGTTTGTCGGTGTCTTCGCTCAATCCCTGCTTGTTGGTTGGCCCTGCCGGGGGCGGGGGTGCCCCTCCCGCGGAGCCCGGTGCGGGGCGTGATTGCGAAGCGCATTGCGGCTCCACAGGGGCTGTCCGGGGCGAGACGGTCCGCGATGAGCCTCCCTTCCCTTCTGGCGGTGGCAATGAGGGCAGCGCGAGCTACTTCTGTTGCCTCGACGTCCACGCCCTGCGCCCGGGGGGGATGCTCGTCGGCTGCTACGACCCCAGGAGCTTGGTCAAGGAAGCTCCCCCCTATCTCGCCTCGGGGCCAGTCGGCGTCTTCCGTGGTAATGTTGTTGAGGCTCAGTTGGAATCTCATCCCTAGGCCTTCCGCGTTGGTCCCTGCGTTTGCAGGGTCGAGAAACCGGGTCGGCACCGCTATGCGGGGGAGTTGGGCGAGGCTTTTGGGTACCCACTCACGCAATGAACGGCTGGGGGGGGCTCCCCTGATACGGTCGCGAATCTGCGCCACTGCCTCTAGAGCCCATCCCTGCGGGGCGCTACAAAGTCTGGCGAGGGCGCTCACTGCGGTTCTGAGCATCGGTTCATCCCCTAGGCTTGGGTCCTCCCTGTTTGGAATCGGGTGCCACGACTCGCTTGGGTTGCCCGTCGTGTGGCGCCGTGTCGCTAGTAGCTCCGCGATTAGCCAGGTTGGAGAGTAGCTGGCGGTCTCCGGTAGGTGGTCTGGGGAGCAAATGTGGCTGGTTATGGGAGCGTATCGCGCTCCTACTCTAGCCAGCTGGCAGGTGAGCTGCGCGCCCAAAGTGTCGAGGGGGTGTCCTGGTGCTTCCGCGCTGTCGGAGTAGAATCCGTCCACCGCTAGACACCAGGGTGTGGCTAGCCAGTGGCAGACGACGCACGCCGGGCCTTGGGGATCCGGCGCGAGCCAGCAGCCGCAGCACCCACATCTGGTGGATGGGTGACAGAAGTCCCCGAGCTTTACCATGTGGGACGTATTGTTTAGGGGCCAGGGCCCCTCTGGTGCGTCATTGCCCTCGAGCATGACTCCTGGGATGCCCGGGGAGCGCGGCCCTGCGCCCGGCATGGCCGGGGCTGCCCAGCCGTCGGGTCCTGTGCCGTGCTGCCCTATGGACATGACGTCGTCGCCCGCCTCGTCCCATTGCCCTCTGTCCACCGCCCAATTCCTGACCTCCCTGTGGTCTGGGAAGCGCACCTGGTTCCGGCGATGCTCGTGGGCGAGGTAGCGGCATATTTTGAACTTGTGCTCGAGGTCCGTTCCAGTGTCTCTCGAGTCAGGGGCCGCGTCGTGCCTCCATCTTGAGAGTCCTAGCAAGGAAACTGGGAGGAGGTCGTCAGACGGGTCTCCTACCCCGATGTCCGTGCACAGGGCCGCGTAGTGGAGGGCATCGTATTCCAGGTGGGCCGCGTATAGCTCTGTATCGCTTGGGTTGTCGCAATCCAGTCTCTCCATATCGATATCGGGGCCTGGGTCAGGCTCGCGTAACGGAAGGCCAGCGCCTGCGCTGGGTCTGGGCCAACACCTCCCAGCCTCGCCTCGTAGTCGGAGCCTGTAATGGACCATGCGAGCCAGGAGAGGTCGAGCTGGGCCAGTGCCGGGCCGACGGCGCAGTACCGGCGGGAGGTTCCTTGCTCGAGCTGGGCCCTCCGATAAGGCGCGGCCCTGCGAGGACTAAGAGCACCCCCGCCGGGTGAGGTTCTGCGCGGACTCCAAGGTGCCGGGGGGGGGGGGGGGCGGCGGTTCCAACAGAAGCTTGCCAGGTTCTCGAAGCCCTGACGCATCGTTTGGTCGCGTGCCGCGCTCCTGGGCAGGTCTCTCCACGGGCCCGCCCGAGGTTCGTGGTGGGCCGCGAGCGCCGAATGGGTGCCCCCTCGCTTGGCGCCCCTCGGATCAGCGACCCTTGGGGCCAGGAAGGGCACATCCGCGTCGCGGCTCCCGCATCGCCGCGGTGCTGGCGAGCGTTCCCCGTCTGAACTGCACGGGTGGTGCTGCGAGTGTCCCGGGTCGTCCTGAGACGGGCGGCGGCTATGGTCTTCCCGACCGCGCTGGCTTGAGCCTGGCGGCGGTAGCGAGGGGGGACCTGGAGGGGGGGCGATCGGGCGACCTCGGGCGGCAGGGTCCGATCTGGCCTCGATCGCGTTGGGGCCCCCCCAGGCGCTGTGCGCGTCGCCGTCAGGGGTGCTTCCACTGGGCTCGCGCGCATCGAGAAGCCACTCCCAGTCGACATCTTCCTGGGCCTGCTGTGGGCCTTCAGGCCCGATCGGGTGAAAGGGAAGCGCGGGGGAGATGGCGTGGTCCTCGCTGGGCGCGTGCACCGCGCCCGTGCCTGCCATGGGAGGGGGGGCCGGAAGTGGGTCAGGGGGGGGGGCGCGGTGGGGGGGGAGAGCGGATAGCGCCTCCCCTGAACTGATGCGGCCCTGTTCTGCTGTAGTCCTGAGGTGGGCGCTCTCGTAGGCCTCGAGGCTCCTCGGAGTGTCCACCCCGGGTGGTCGCACGCACTGGTCCTGAGTTGTGTTGGGAAGTGGGGTGCAGCTGACCGCCGCAATATATTCTCTATCAGGGTCTTGGGGGGAGCAGCTGACCGCCGCTGAGTTCACTCTTTCCTTCGCGCGGGGGTAGCAGCTGACCGCCGCTGGAATCACTATTTGTTGGTGGGTGCCTCCATCTCCGCTGCCAGATTGTACCTCGGGGGTGTGGGTAGCCACTGTCTGAAGAGATGCGGGCGCGTGTTCTTCGGGGGGGCGGGCGACGCCCTCCGCAGCTGTGAGCTGTTGCGCCTCCTCTTGGCACGCCCTGGGGTTCACCGCATCAGCTGCTCCTCGGCGCCCCCCTGGGTCGCCATTGTCCGCCTCAGGGGGTTGGGTGGTCCCTACTGCCGGTGGTGGAGGATCCTGGGGGGCCCCGAGGCGGGGGGAGGAGGGCGGCGTGGGCGGGACAGGGATCGAGATGGGGTCTGGAGTGGGGATAGCGGGAGTCGGATCAAGACCCCCCCGAACCTGAACGTCCATCTCCCTGTCCCTGTCGTTCTCATCTGGTCCGCCGCCCCCTCTTTCCTCAGCAGGCCTCGACTGGGGTGAGTTGAGGGCCTCTCTGGGGGTCTGTCGTTTCGTCCCATCCCCATTTGCTGGATTGTCGCCGTCTCCCGATGAGCAGCGAGCCATCATGGTCGCCACTGGTGCTGGCTCCTGGTCTACCCCGAGGGAGGGGGGGGGGCTGCTGTCTGTGGGGGACCTGAACCTGATTGGGGTCTGTGGGGGATTCGACCGTGACCAGTGACTGGGCTTCCGCGCCCTGCACTGAATGGTCCCCGCCCCCAGCGACGCCATCCGACTGATCCTCCATGCGAGGCAGCTAAGGCCCGTGCTGCCTGGCGGCGCAGCTGCGGCGATGGCCGTCGCGCCCAGGGGGGGCGGAAGGGGGCCAGCCGCGGCCCGCGGCGCAGCGTACGGGCGCCCCCCTCGAGCGGTGGGAAACTGTCCCGGAGGGGACAGGCCCACCAGACGGCTTGAGCCAGTGGCTACGGAGCTGGTGGGGTTACGCGAAGCGTCTAGAATTTCCAACAAAGACGAAACACATGAGGGTTTCTTGTCCGAGCCGACTTGAATCTGACACGTTGGTCCGACTGTATCCTGGACCCAATCGCAAGACTCTTCCCCTCTTCCTCCCTCTCTCCGTCCGCTCCTCCTGCAGCTGCACGCCCAGCCCCAGCTCCGACATGTGGGTGCAATCCCTGAGCTTCTCTGGGGCAGGCAGCCATGACTTCTGGATGGCCGTCCGGGCGCCCTCGCAAGGAG